TTTAAGAAAAGTGCACAGGGTTTTAAGCACTCTGTAATTTTCTGATTCTCTTTTTACAAACTGCAGCTAGAAAGAGAATTGACTTTTGACAACTTGTCTGCATGGACCAGCCCAGAATTAATGGAGAAAGTGAAAATGGAGGTTTATCTGCCCAGGTTCACGTTAGAAGAGAAATACGACCTCAAAACTACTTTGAGCAGCATGGGGATACAAGATGCCTTCACTGAAGGTCAAGCTGATTTCACAGGAATGTCAGAGAAGGGCGAGCTGTTTTTGTCACAAGTTTTTCACAAGTGTTATCTGGAAGTCAACGAAGAAGGCACAGAGGCAGCAGCTGCCAGTTCCGCAGCACTGGCATCGCGAAGTCTTGGTGCTGCTGTTATTTTTGTAGCAGATCACCCTTTCCTCTTCTTTATCAGGCACAACAAGACCAAGAGTATTCTCTTCTTGGGAAGGTTCTCTTCCCCCTAGAAGCTCGACCATTACTAAACAGACTCTTGCAACAACAACAATGAACAAAATACACACCACGAAGAGCATCTCAGTAGTCTGTGCACTACTTCTTCATTTTCCTGTACTGTTGACAAATCTCTCAGTGTTAGAAGAGAGCAAATATTAAAAATAACCTGGAACTCAAGTCTCTGGCTCCTTTTCCTAGCCAAAGAACTCAAAATGGTTAGCACTACACTGTAAGTACCAAACCGTGCACAGAGGAGCACTGATGCATCTTTTCAGCACTTTCTGAACCAGAAATGCCACAATGCAGAACAGACTAAGCTGATCTAAACCAGTAACTCCCAACACATTTGTTTTGGTACACAAGAAGAAAAGAAAGAGGAAAAACTCCTTCCTGCAGAACTCTGCTGCACCTCCATTGGTTTCAGCTCGCTAAGCTGGTCATCCCAGGAGGGCTACCTCACCCACATTCTTGTCAGCAACATTGCAGCCTGGCACAGCTGGTAATGAAATAAACCTGCCAATCCTCTGCATGCAAAGGGGCTAACACATGTACTTTCTAATCTCTGTCCCACAGCAACTGGAAAATATCGAATAGCAATATAGAATTGGAGGAAAATAAAACGTACGTGCCTTGAAACTTTGTTGTTTGTAACTTTTTATGCATTCCACACCGCTGCCAGACCAGCACTGCACTGTTTTACTCTCGTTTTGCTTTGTCACTTATTTTATTTGTTTGAGGCAAGATCAAGTTGGAGAATCAAGCCTGTAATGCTAACTCTCTAAGTACCTTCTGGAAGATTACATGCAGATCCCCTAGCACATATGTACTCCTGTCACAGCTCTTTCTCCTAAGGAGAAGAGTGTCCTAATCAGTCAAGCACATTGGGGTTGTGCAGTCTGGAGAAGAAAAGGTTCCAGGAAGACCTTCCAGCACCTAAAGGGGGCCTACAGGAAAGGTGGAGAGGGATTTTTTACAAGGGTGTGTAGTGATAGGACAAGGGGCAATGGATTTAAACTGAAAGAGGGGAGATTTAAATTAGATCTAAAGAAGAAATTCTTCACAATGAGGGTGCTGAGGCACTGGAAGAGGTTGTCCAGAGAAGCTGTGGCTGCCCCATTCCTGGAAGTGGTCAAGGCCAGGTTGGATGAGGCTTTGAGCAACCTGATATAGCGGAAGGTGTCCCTGCCCCAAGGCAGAGAGCTTGGAACTAGGTGATCTTCCAACCCAAACCATTCTATGATTTGCAAGGGATGCTCCTAACTCTCTGAGTTCAGAACAGAGAGCAAAGGACTGGCTCTCTTACAGGACTTGCATGCTCCACCAACATCTTAGTAGAAACATCTCTTCTTGGGATGGCAGGACTCCTTTTTCCTGACAGAGACTGCTGTCACTGAATCCCTTCTGTTTTCTTCTACACGACCAGCTGCTTCCAGGGTCCCTTCTGGCTTGCCTCCCAAAGGGGAAGGAGTATAGCAAAAGTGTTGTGAAGCAGTGCTTTATTGTATCCCCCTACAACCTCAACAGCACTGCCTTCTGACTTAGCTGTGAAACATGACACAGGAGCCCTGTGAATTCAAGTGCAATTCTGCCATGCCCTACTTCACCTAATGCAAGGGCTTCAGGTCCTCATGGCCAAGTCCCTTAAGCACTTCCTGATGTACCCCAGGAATAAAGACAGGAAAGTCACGCCTGGGAAACCAAGGAGAAACAAAACCATGACAACATGCACTCAAACTCACTCACAGGCCTTTAAAGTCAATGGAAATGCGAGTCATCTTTTCTCTCTCCTTCAACAATTTTAAGCACGACTGCAAAGATGACAGAGTTAATGTCCTCTTGGCAGGGCCAGTTGATTTACCAAGTGGCAATGGCCACAACACTTGAAGGGGGAGTTGCACATTAGGGAACAAACTTTCCCAGAGTGAGCAGCACAGCACTGGAGAAGGTTGCCCAGAGAGGCTGGAGATTCTCCATCCTTGGAAGGGCTGTGACTGATGGCCGTGTCTTAAGTAGAAGGTTGACTTCTGGGTGGCCCTTTCAATTAACACATGTGATTTTCTCTCTCTTGTCAATAGCCATTCTGATGGCCACCTCCTGGCTTGGGCTTTCCCACCACCTAACCATTCAGCTGACCTTTCTCCTATCATGATTTCTTGAGAACATACTAATTGTACTAAAACCAACAGTTGTTTAATTTCTGGCATTTCTTCACTGCCTTGCACAACATTGATTTCTGCCACTTTTTAGAAGACTTGACTCACTTTATTCCTGTAACCAAGCTTGCAGCAAAATGCTTAGCACATAGTACAGTTTCCTTCCCTTTCCGCATTCCCCTTCCCCTGTTCCCAAGGGTCTTACAGTTATTGTCACCACTTTCTCCTTCTTCCATCACCTAGCAGCAGCCCAGCTCTCTTCTAGGACTGCAGCGAGACAACTACTGTGCCATATTTGCCCCCGTTGTATTTTTTCACTCCATCCTTCCTCGAGCCGTCCCAGTGGGGCTGTTTCAGTCCTTACCCTCCTTCACTACTTGCAAGTACTGTGCACTAACTCAGTGTTTTGCAGTGTTTCTCCCAAATAGTTCCCAGCCATGGTTGCAATGAGATTTCTCCACCACCCCAGTGAGGTGTCCATCCCTTACCTTGAACGGTCCTTCATGACTTCGCCTCTGTCTATGTTCCTAATGATCTTCAATCTGAAGCTGGTCACCCAATGTCTAATTCAATCACTCAGCTTGATGTTTTATGCTGACCACCACATCTGAAATGCAGGAGACACAGTTGCACAAAGCCAGAGAGGAGAATCAGGCCTACAATATCTGTTTATATCCACAAACCAAAACCAAGCACTCTAGTTGTGTAACCTTTTTACTAGTCCAGTTGTCTCCACCAGAAGAACACTGGAATAGGTGAACTGTTCTGCTGTCCTGTCCGTAGCCTATTGTGGTGTAACAATAGAGCTGAGATTTTAATTAATCGTCTTTTTTGAAATGTCTAAAACTGAAAAGTGACAAGGTCAACCAGGAGGACAAAATTACGTAAGATCTTTTGGGGATTTGGTAGAAAGGAGCTTTGGGTAGGCGGAAACAACCTGTATGGAGGAGAGAAGGAAAGGGAGGTGCAAGCAGTACTATATTTCTAAATTTTTTCATTGCTTAACACAAACGCAGAACCTGACTGAGGACAAGACTTACCTCTTCTCTCCATCAGGATCAGAGGTAAATATTTAAAGCAATTTAAGTAATTTTTCTAATGCATTTAAAAAGTGATCTGTGGCTTGCATGACTGTGTAGGTAAACTATAATATACTGGTGTTAGAGTGCATTATTCTTGCCTCCTGTTTTTCTAGATATCAACCCTTAGAGAAAATAAATCTGTAAGGCTAAGGAAAACTGCTAATTTGGGCACAATCAATCACAGGAAGGAAAGTTTTCTTAGGGCAGTAACTGTCTTATTAACTAAAATCTTCAGTTTGATAAAGGAGTCCCATACTTCAGGTGAAGAAAAGGCTATTTTTATTCTGCAAAGGCACAGCACTGCATATTATTAAGCCAGGGACTTGGAGGAGTATTCATGAGCAGAAAACAGAGAAATTTCCATCCGGATGCTCTCTTGATTGTGTTCTCCAAGGAAAGAAAATCACTCTGTGGTACAGATTTGGTATTGACAGAACACTGACTGCCGGAAGAACCGTAGCGGTTTGGCAGCCAAATATTCGATAAATATCTGTAGACTTCAGAGATTGTCCCACAATTTCTGTAGTTCCATGCCATAGATATAAATGGTAACAATGATAAGAACAAAACCAACATTTCTGGTCTCTTGACTGAAAAACAACATGAGGCAGGTACTACTGGGTAGATATCTTGAATACTCATAACCTCAAGGAATCTGTCAGTTTCTGAGGAAAATAAAATTGCTGGAACATACAGAAGGGGTGGCAGGTACACATCATGAATAAAACTCCATCAATCTAAAGCAAATAACAGCTTTGCTATTCGTGATGCTACTCAAGAACAGGTGGCTGGCGACAAAAAGCACACATGCCTCAGAATTATGCCTAAATTCTTTCTCAGTATCAGCTTTCAATTCTACACAGATCCAAAATGAAGTAGTGGGAAACTCAGGTGTGCTGTGAACCTATGTGCTAAAATTGCCTTTAAATTTCCCTGGGAACATCACTTTGATAAATCATTAGTTCAGGATGAAAAGGAAGAAAAATACGCATCTTACAAGTCTGCACATTTTTGAAAACCAAAGGCAGAAAGAAAAACACAAAGAACACTGCAGCTGTATGAAAGAGGACATACGTACAATTACAGGAAAATATTATCTGGATAACAAAAAACCTAAAAGAAATTCCTGTTCCTAACAGGTGGCAAGCAGTATCTGTGTGGAAGATAAAACATACAAGCAATCTATTAGTTTTAGTGGGTACCAATAAATTGTAATGCACATGTAACATTTCTCACTAATCCGCACTGTGTACATAATTTTAAACATTCAAACGGTACAATTCTGCCTCTTTCCAGGTTGCAGCAATGGAACTGGCCTCAACATCAATTGGCACGTTTACAGTCGATCTTTTCAACAAGCTGAATGAGACCAAAAAGGGCAAAAATGTTTTCTTTTCCCCTTGGAGCATATCATCTGCTCTGGCTCTGATGTACCTGGGTGCAAAAGGCAATACCGCAACAGAGATGGCAGAGGTAGGTTGCTCTAGGGAGCATGCACCCCCTACAAGATCTGGCTCCTCCACCGGCTGTAAAATTTAGTGTTAGATAGAAAACCTTGCCACCAAAATGACGAGGAACCAAGGCAGACCAGAGAATGTAACAAGTGAATGATAAATTTTATTCATTTCATAGCAGGTCCTCCACTTCTCCACTAAGAGAAAGTGTCTTGTGGGTATCACATGCTGAGCATAGAGGGTCTCTGAATCTGATTTCTTCTAAATTATTCTACACCTCTTAATTTATCCTGTGATTCTATGATTCTCCCACAGATGGGATATTCCCTTTGAGAAGCAAACAGCTGATACCAGTAGCTCCTAACTAACTGGCAGGAGGCTTGCAGATCCCAGCACCCTCCCTCTCTCCCCTGGCCAGGATGCATCTCTCTATCTTGATTTATGCTTTCCTAAACAACCGCCTGACAATCCAGCAGGAAAACAGGATGGCCTTTGGTTTCTCCACAGCCTCTGACCCAGTCCTTCCTAATGCCACATGGGCACATTGCTGGCTCAAAGGGAGCTGTGGTGCCCAGCACTACCCAGCACTCTGCTCTGTGTCACCGCACTCCCGTTCAGATGCTTTTATACCACTATTGTGAGGGAACCATTTGGGTTTGCACAAATTTGTTACTATTGCTGAGAGCAACAACTGTGGAAGGGAGTTCAGCCTCGCAGGGTGCAGATGGGAGCACTGCATGGATGCTCTGGGAGGTCCCCCTTACTACTCATTGCTGCTCCTTTGGGATTTAAGTGTACTTACAGCTTCAGCATCCCTTTGATTAGTCACCTAAGCGGCAGATAGCACAGTGAATTATCACATGGAACAAAAAAAAACCAACCATTTGATCTCCACTTGGCTTTAAGTCACACCAGTTCCTTCATGCCTGTTTCTTATCTTTATGAACTCTGCTTGCAGGTTCTTCATTTCACTCAAGCTGCAGGAGCTGAAAGCTCTTCTTCTGTGGCCAGACCTTCTCGAGGGAGACCAAAGAGAAGAAAAATGGTATCTATATATCTATTAAAACTGAAATCCCAAGAAAATGAACCCCTAGAATCAAAATATCCAGATACAGCTTTAGGAGTCCAGTATTTCTTGTCTGCATCCCTCTCTGAAGTACAAACCCCAACATACTTCACAATAGGTTCAAGTCCAGTTCCTTTCACTCACTCGGACTCTGAGAAGCGCAGAAAGACAAGTCACTGGGATAGTCTGGAAGGTTTTCTATATGGAAAATCAGTTAATCCAGTCATAAACAGAGCCCTCAAACTGCAGTGATGGTAAACTTGGAAAAATAAAAAATAAGGGAGAGAAACCCAAATTCCTCTCCCACATATATGGCTTAGCAGGTTTTGAAAACTTCATGCAAAAACGCAATTGCTGAATGTATCGTTTCTCTTTCCAAGGACCCTGAGCACAAGCAAGCTGAAGATATCCATTCTAGCTTCAAAGAGCTCCTGACTGCCATCAACAAACCCAGAAGCAGCTACTCGCTGAGAAGCGCCAACCGCGTTTATGTGGAAAAAACCTTCCCATTATCGCCTGTAAGTTAAATCTCAGAGAGGAGTAAGGAAAGGTGCAAAAATTAGCTCTCATTTTAATTTCATGTCATTAATAGAACAGGTTTGATGGTGACCCTGAATACTGCAAATGAAGAGCCCTGGATTTCAGTAATAAACCGGTGTGCTCACAGTATTTAAGGATGTATTGCCATTTGACTGCAGTGTAGGGATTCCTTTTCATGCAATATGGCTTTATTACTGGAACCTCCAGTATACACAATTGTAAAAAAGACATTAAAATAACCACATCGATGGGGTGTGCGCAGCCTCCCTCGCTTCTCCAAATAAAAATGAGACCAAAAGAAGATCATTTTCTCTCCTCTGATTATTTAAGCATTAATTCACAGTCCAACAGAGAGTAACAAGCAAGATCTTGCAGTTCTCTAGGCCCAAGAAGCTATGAAAAAGTCCAAAAGCTAACAACTTACCTTTGGGACTGAAAAATCCAGTATCATACAGGACTTATTTCTTTTTTTTTTTTTTTTCATTTTTCAGAGGTACATACAGCTCAGTAAGAACTACTACAAAGCTGAGCCACACAAGATGAACTTTAAGACAGCACCGGAACAATCCAGAAAGGAAATCAATGCTTGGACTGAAACACAAACTGAGGGTAAGCTGGGACCAACCCCAACATCTTTCCTCTCCTATGAAGTCAGCCTGCCCGTTGCCTTCGGGCAGGTGCCCTTGCTGCCCCACGTGCTCCTGCAGCAGCCAGGCCATGCCTTCCGATGTGGGCAGCGAGCAGAGATGTGATGGGAGGACAGAGAAAGAGTAGCATACTTAAGCAGCTTCAAATACCTGATCCAGACCCAAGTGAGGTCCTTGGGAAGACTCCCATCGACTCCGCTGTCCTCTGGCTGCATCAGCTGGTCCTCCAGCACAACTGCTGCCCTGGCACTACACCCATGTAGTGTCTACTACCAGTGTGCACCAAGGTGGGTGGGGATGCCTACCTAGTCGTACCACCCTGCACTGGCCAGAGGTGCTGGCCTCCTTCTACTTGGCATAACCAGCTGCTGAGGCAGTGTATGGCTTTCTGCTTCTAGCTGCTTGTCATGAAGCTGTGATGTTTTTTGGGAAAGGAGTCAATCCCTGTCAGCTAGCCAGGAGAGCTAGGCAGCAAACAGCTTTGGGAACTGTAAACAAACTAACTGATCTATGTCAGGGGAGTATTTTAGGGATTAGGGCGCTGAGGCATGGACTTCTTCACTAAGGAGTTGAACTGAGAGAAAAACCAATCAAATCACATCCTCACTGTGCCACTCTGGAATGAAACCTGACTCTTCTGATTTCAAAAGGCAAAATCAAGAATTTACTGAATTCACAAGATGTGACACCCGCCACCAAGCTGGTCCTGGTAAATGCCATTTACTTCAAGGCAGAATGGGAAGCAAAATTTCGGGCAGAAGATACAGAGGTGCAACCCTTCCGACTGAGCAAGGTAAGCACCTCCAGTAACCTACTTACTGTAAACAGCCTGGTGACAACAGCTACTGCTGAAATCTTCCTATTTCGTAAGCCTTTTAGGTATCTTTGTGGTAACTAGACTCTGTGAAAAGCTGTTTACAGCAAAATGTATCAGTGCTCATCTCACTGCAGCATTAAGATGCTGCTCAGCTCCAGATAACAGCTACTGTTTCCAAAAGCACTAGAGTCACTTAAGACCTTTTTGTAAAACAGTGCTAAAAGGGCTAGATTGTGAAAACATGCTTTTGAGAGTCCAGGCTTCATGGATAGAAGCTACATGCCATGTCACGGGTAAGTGTGGTTCCCGGGCCTTCGTGCTGTGCAGTCTAGCTAGGTGCAAACACGCCTGCTCAAATACAGCTGCAGCAGGGTACCCTGAATGGTTGGACAAGACCAGAAGAAACGTTAATGGCCTGTATCCAGAAGAGGTGTCAATGAATACACATCAAAAGACAAGAGCTCTGTGCAATTTCCACGAACTGTAAGTTTCTGCCTTCTAATTAGCACTTATACATCAACTGCCTCCCTGAATGAAGGGACACAGGTGTTACAAATAAACTTTCTTAAGTTTAAATACTCCAGCAAAGGTGACTGCTTGCCAGCAGCTCCCCTCATCACGACCCCCTTTGCTCAGATATTGGTGTTATCTTCTGCGAAGGGTTTTGACAGAAAGAGCAATCAGTGAGTCACTTTTCATTGCCAGAAGGAGGACACCCCAGAAAACCTGCCCAACACTCATCTGCCTAAACCATAGCTGTTTCTCTGCCGTAGTGTCGTGAGGCTATATCCCATACCTGCTTCATCCCCCTAATCCTTGCAGATATTTCTAACTCTCTTCCTCCTTCCTCTGTGGGCTGCTGTGCGTGTTTTTGGGAGAAGAGGAAAAATCAGTCACTTCAGCCCCCAATAAAATGTTCAAGGAAAAACACCAAGATAAGCAATATTGTCTAGTCAAGAAAAGCTTTGGAAAATAAATCACAAATCACTGTTATAAAAGCTGCTTAAAAAAAGTTTCCTCTCCCTTCACTGCACTGAGTCATTGTCATCCTTCCTTTCAAGGAATGATTTCTTACTTACAAGTCAATACTTTACAGAACAAGACCAAGCCTGTGAAGATGATGTGCATGAGACATACATTTCCAGTTCTGATCATGGAAAAAATGAATTTCAAAATGATCGAGTTGCCGTACGTGAAACGCGAGCTCAGTATGTTCATCCTCCTTCCCGATGACATCAAAGACAATACTACAGGTCTCGAACAGGTAAAAAAGCATGCTACATCCATTTTGTACCACCATCCAGTTATTAAAAAGAAAAAAAGGACAGCTTGGTGACCATATCTCCCCCTCTGAGGACATGCTGTTTGATCTCCTCCACTAGCTGAATGAATTTCCTTTAATACCTATCTAATCTCAAGACAGCTCCTCCACACTGGGGGCCCTTAGTCTGGCAAGAACTGAGGACAGTCAACACTGTCTACAACCAGATGCTTGGCTCCTCAGCAGCCCCATGACTGACACCCAACCCTACCCAATCTGTAAGGGTTAAACCCTCCTTTACTGCACTTTCAGGAGGGACAGTACTGCACAGGTAGTCACAGTCTCTCCCTGAGATAACAGACACCCGGAATTTTATCCACCACCATCCATGGAACTGGACCACACCACATGCTGCACAGCTGCCAATCTCCCAGCAATTTCCTTCACATCAAGGCTGAATTAAAAGAGAGGAAGGAATTACCTCAGGGGATGGCAGCTGCAGGTGTCGAGTGCCCTGTCCTGCAACGAATTTGGCAGGGGTGGTGCTCAAAACTTTGCAGCATTAAGTCTCAAGTGTTTGTTGCACACTCGGCCTCTGATAACCAGCAAAACCAATGCTTTCAGCTAAATGTTGAATTTGCCATTTAAAAACAGCTTGATTCATTAAATTGCCACAACTAACTGATTAATTCATCGTTAATTGGTTTCTCCTCGCAAACATTAAATTCCTTCTCTTTCTTAAACAATAGCTGGAAAGAGAACTGACGTATGAGAAGCTGTCCAAATGGGCCGATTCCAAGATGACCGAAACTCTTGTGGACCTGTACCTACCCAAGTTCACACTGGAGGAGAGATATGACATGAGCGATACTCTGGACAACATGGGAATGCACAGTGCCTTCCGCAGCAACGCTGATTTCAGTGGCATGGCCGAGAAGGGTGGTGTGCTGATCTCCAAAGTTCTTCACAAGTCTTTCATTGCAGTTGATGAGAAAGGCACAGAGGCAGCTGCTGCTACTGTAATTACAGTCCTAACAAGTTCACCTGCTGTCAATGCTCTGAAATTTAAGGTTGACCACCCTTTCCACTTTTTCATTAGACACAACAAGGCTAAGACCATCCTCTTTTTTGGCAGATTCTGCTCTCCCCTGGAATAAGTAGTTACTTGCTTCCCAGACACCACCCAAGGTTCACTGTTCAATGGAAAAATGTGAACTGCAGGGTCAAAAGCTCAACCTTAAGCCATGTAGCCATACATACTATAAGTGTATGTCCTTTTTCTTCCCCCCCTCAAGTAAGGCAGCACCCAGAGACCACCCTGTCCCTCAAAGGCAGCGAGGGAAAACAGTCCAGCCCTCAACATTTAATCATTGGCTTCTAACCACCTTGTATTTTTTCCTTATTTTTCTAAACTTTGTAGGTTAAGATTGCTGAGATTTCCAATCGGCAAAAATGCTAAGAAAACTATGAGCAACATGCTTCTTGCTACCTCTTCTTGATATGCAATCTGAAGCCTCCAGAATTCAAATCTGTTTCTTTTTATTTTAACCTAATTTTACCTGTTTCCCAGCTAATCTCCGCACGGTTTCCTTGCTACCTATATCATTTATCATTGTATGATTTGTGTAATGATCTATGTAACTTACGAATTATGATAATTATGTAACTTACGAATGCATCTCAGCAAAGATAGTAATGGAATTGACAGAAACACCAGTGAGACTTTGACTGATGCTTTACTTCATAATTTACCATGACCTGCATTTAATCCAATAAATGGATTTGGAGTTGTGTTTGTGTTATTTGAGACACTGACCTACCTGGTTCTCTTACAGCACACACGTAAGGTGTACGGCTGGAGCACACTTCCGTTCTTGCCGTTTCAAATCAACCACCACATCACCTCGATCAACAAGGCTGACCCACTTGGTGCCTTATTTCCACTAGGCTTCAAACAGCCCCAAGCCCCCTGTTATCCAGCATGTTATCCTAGGCATTTGCTAAACACACCGACTCAAATCAAACTCCCTGATGAGCAAGTTTTTTGCTCACTGAGTCAAGGCATTTAAACTTTCCTTTTTAAGCACTCGGTTTCCCATTTTTGACCACTAGCCCCCCCTGAACCTACTCAAGAGGCTTGTTTTCCTGTCACAACACACTAGAAATCAAAAGTCTAACTAGAGTCTACAGCCCAGAAAAGAAGCTTCCAAACAGCCCCTTTGCCCCATGTACACCAGTGAACAAGCAATGCCGCGCTGCCACCATCCGTTCCCCCCCGTTGGCTTGGGAGGGCAGCAGTTTCCTGTGGCCATGAGGAATGGCACAAAGTTTTGCAGCCATCGTGGTACTCAGTGACCACATGTCAGAGGACATTATCTAAAGCAAGAAGATTTGAATGCAGGAGGGAGGCACTGTAAAAACATCTCTCAGCAAAATTCTACCTGTAACTACAACTCACTCCACCTTCACAACAGGTCTTCTATTTGGACATGTATCTCCACCCAACAAAGTGCACCTGCATCTTCTTCCTTGTACAAAGTGCTGCTTCTAAAATCAGTGCCCTCCCTTGCCTGTAACCCTCAGCTCAGGATTCAGCTGACTGTCATCCAGGACCTACCTTGGGGCAGCCCAGTTGTGTGCTATTGACTCACCTTTAGTAAGAAGTTTGTTGCTTAGATGTGGAATAGCACACAAGTGAAGGCCATGCCAAATAAGAAAAATAAAAACACAAACAGGAAAGTTATTTTCAGGATAGAACAGCCAGCATAGTTATAATGGCCTTTGAGATCTGGAAGGTGCATCTGCCCAGTGCTGGAAGTTAAGAAGAGCTACAAGTCTTTTAGTTTCCACGATTTCACAATTATTTCCCGTTGTTAGGTCGGGATGCCACACTTGGATATAGCAAGGGAGGCAGTCCTGGGAATGGGAATTTCCAGTGTGGTGTGCTAGCCATGCTTGCTGTCGTTGGTCAAGGAGGCCTGGGGGCTCCTGGAGGTGACAGGCTGGCTGGCAACAGGCCTGTTTGTGGGAAGGGAAGGGAAGGGAAGACAGATTCGGGGCAGAGCAGTTCCTACATCATGAACAGGTCATGGTGTTCCAATGCTCCTCTCAGCAAGGGCTCTCCCAAGCACTGTCCTTTCTCTCATCTGCCACAAAGGGTGGCCTGATGCTTTTGAAAGACAGTTCCATTTATTCTTCCATACTGAGGAAAATGCTATTTAATCATCTTTCTAAAATACTGCAAGGTAGCCATGACTGCATTTCCAAATAAGTGCTTTCAAGCAACCCTGGGTTTCTTCTGTATTATCAAAATTTCAGGTTTGTGAACTCCATCTTGAAAAGTCCCGGGACTTTGAGAACTAGAGGAACAAGTATCTACAGGAAAGTGCTGCGATAAGCCTCAATATAAACACGTTGTGAGCACGGACTGCTTGTTACTTAGTGATTCCATGCCTGTCAAAACACAGCAGATTAACATGCTTTCAGTTTATCCTAGAATGAAAGATGGGGTTTTTGTCTCCCAGTGCAAATATCAGCATCATGAAATAATTCCTGGCACCTCTGTGGTAGACTGACCTCATGACAAGCAGAAATGGCAGACCCAGCACACAATAATAAAAACTGCTGTGCTGGTGTATTGTTGGTATTCAAGACAATAGAAAAACACCCTGGTGTAGAACTGAAATGCAAATGCATCCACAGTTTTTAAGGTTTTATTCTGCCATCAGCAACGAGCACAATAAAATCCCTTTTAAAATGTTATTTATAGTTCAATCCTCTAGTTCTATTGCAACAGATGCGATACTCGCTCTTATTTTCTTCCTGGGGGACAGAGCTGAATGGGATTTCCTGCAGAGCAAAAATCCATAATTGGACTTAGTTTAGCACTGATTTTAAATTGTGCTGCTTTTCACCAGATGTAATTGAAAGAGAACTGATCTTCAAGAAATGCCCAAACGGTCCACGCAGAGGGGACCATTTACGGACTACAGGTATGGGAGTACGACAATCAAATGGGCAGAAAGATACAACCTCACATCCACGCTGAGCAAGATGAGGATGAAAGATGGCTTTAAAAAAAGCCAAAATTACTTCATCAGTGTACCACTGGAAAAAGACTGGTTTTATCAAAAGACTTTTCATGACCATTTGTCAGAGGTCAACCCACTTCAGGCCAGGTCAGGCACTGTGATGCTGTGAAACCTTGTTTCTACCATTCTGGTTGCAGCAATTTACTATTTCCTCTCACTATTTCTGGAATAGTGTGCTGGTTTTGGCTGGGGTAGAGTTAATTTTCTTCACAGCAGCTAGTACGAGGTCGTGTTTTGGATTTGTGCTGGAAATGGTGTTGATAACACTGGGATGTTCTCGTTATGGCTGAGCTGCGCTCAAACAGCATCAAGGCCTTTTCTGCTTCTCACCCCACCCCACCAGCAGTAGGCTGGGGGGCACAAGAAGCTGGGAGGGGGCACAGCTGGGACAGCTGACCCCAGCTGAGCAAAGGGATATTCCACACCGTATGACGTCATGCTCAGCATGTAAAGCTGGGGGAAGAAGAGGGAAGGGGCGGGGGGCGTTCGGAGTGATGGCATTTGTCTTCCCAAGTCACCGTTACGCGTGATGCGTGATGGAGCCCTGCTTTCCTGGAGATGGCTGAACACCTGCCTGCCCATGGGAAGTGGTGAAGGAATTCCTTGTTCTGCTTTGCTTGTGCACGTGGCTTTTGCTTTCCCTATTAAACTGTCTTTAGCTGAACCCACGAGTTTTCTC